AACATAATCTTGTTTCTCTTTTTCTCAAAAGATGATAGAAGATTTTTACAATGACTTACAACATTTTGAGAACAGAATCAATTTTCTCCACTCATACCTTGTTACCGGTGCCATTAATTACAAACACTGAGTGCATAATAACACACACAACTGTAAATCTTATGCTCCTATTATCTCCTGCAAATGCCACACAAAGCACGTCAAGTTTACTCTGAAATGAGATCTTACAAAATCATTATTGCAGTCATCATCGTTATGAAGTTACTGCAGACATCGGCTGGTTCAGTCTCACCAGTCTCACCTGGCAGTGAGTGTACATATGAAATGACTTCAAACACCCTAAAACAACATGACAGATGCCAACAATATTAATGCAGCAGGAAGACTTCAGACAAACACGCTCCATCTGCTGTACTTCAAATAAACACAGATCCATATCTGGTGCATCAGCTTGAACCAAATCTCTCTCTCTCTCACACACACACACACACACACACACACACACACACACACACACACACACACACACAACAGTTCAGTTTGGGGTATCGCTGTGCTGCGTTTGGCTACAGTGCCCAACATATTTAATATAAATAACAGAAGGAGACCTGCACACAGACACTCTCTTCCTCTCCTGGTGGAGGTCGTTATGAGTTCTTCTCCCATTGGCAGGAAGAGTGTTTGTGAAACAGACGAAGCACTGCTGGCCATCGCCACAGGAATGGGACTAACACGGACCTCAGATGGACACACACACACACTGCTGACCAAAGCCCAGCATGGACAGAAGGTTTGATATAAAATTTCAGTCGAGAGTCACTAATGAGGTGTATAGGAGAGTCACGACACAGAGACACAATGGTGTTCTTCTACTGATTGTTTTAGATTAAGATACAGAGCAGCATGTAAGCCTGGTTAACTGATGATAATGTTATCTAATGAGAGACCAAATGCCAAGGCAGAGCTGGTCGAATATAAGCCAACATACTTTTGAACCATACTGATCACTGGTTAGTTGTGTATCAGCAGGATATTAGCAAACATGTCAAAGATGACTGGAAATTAGCCTGATCGGTTTATAGTTACAGTTGCTCCAGTTTTCTCACCGTTATTTTAGCCTCTTCCTCTCTTAGATTTAGATCCCTCAGTACCTTCAGTACCTTCGTGTTCTGGCTACCTCCTTTTTATGGATCTTAGTTACTCCTTTAATCACAATTTACAGTTAGTTAAAGTAAAATGAAATGTCCTTCTAGGAAATCAAAGAAAGACTCACTGCAATGTTTGTAGATTTTTAAACCACAAAACCAAATGTTGAATGTTTGAAAGCTAACACTTGGGTAAAGTTAGTTGTTGTAGAAGTAGTGGGAACACACTAATCATATACTACAGATCAATAGGAGGTAAATGGAAGCAGGCAGACTACTCCTTTAAAACCTTATGAGCTCTTTGGGCACTATCCATGGTGCTGATCCCACTTAATACCCCATACAAGACGTGAACAACCAAGAGGATATGCTCCGATGTTCCCACTAGTTAGTTCCAGTGAGAAATAAATGAAGTGTCAGAAACAAACACAGCGTTATCAGCACCACTACACATTCACTTCCACTAGTATATTAATGCCAGCGCATTAAAAACATACTACCTTTGAGTTTATTTTTAGATATCTTCAATAAATATTATGTGATATCCACATAATAACTTCACAGACTTACTGCTTGCTAAAAGTTGTGTTAATAAAGTGGTTAAACTTTAAACCAGAACTAAAGTTTGTAGGACCTGATTTGGATTTTACAACAGCTGGCCATCTTCCCAGTCATCAGTGGCAAACAGCATGGTTATCTGATCAGATTATGTGATTTATACGAGTTACTGCAAAGAGCTTATATTGAAAATCTAAGAGGCATTTTGATTTGACAGGAAAATCTGTCACTGACTAATAAGACTACCTCCAAGAACAGGTTGTACATATTTGCTTGTTAAGGAATCAACAAAGCAATCGCCTTCTTTTTTGCCCGCCATGCCACAGCTTTAACTAATCTACAGTGTGTGAGCTCCGAGACGGATCTGCATTTTTCAACTTTGGTTACAAACAAGCTTGTGCCGTCTGAGCCTTTCTTTGTCCGGTAACAAGTCTGTGCACCTTAAACGAAACTTCATTTAGGACCTTCAATTAACCTCTTGAAATTAGAATTCATAATCCATTTATCATGCTTGTATGACCTTTGAGAATTCATAATCCATACATCACAGTTTTCAGAATGATGTATGGATTATATCCTTGCACGGCCTTCATAAGCTTCCAAGATATTTGCATACTGCAGCTGCTGCAGAACTTCATTACCTTCCGACAGTGCCTTCCCAGTCTTAATGTGTGGTTGCCCTGTTAGACTATGTTTAGACTAATATCAGCTTGGCCAGCAAACTGTTTGATGGAATATCTGGGCTATAAAGTCATTTAAATCCTAATTACTATGCAACATTTCAAGGTGATATTCTGGCTCTAACTGATATGTTCTCGCCCAAATTTTGCCCAAATCTCTATTGTGCTTGCTGACATTTGTCTGTTGTCTTGTTAATGGATTCAGTCCCTTTTCATATCAAGGTCATCACATAAAAAAAGACATGCACTGTACTCCCAACAGTTTATATGTTGACTAATGACTACATTTGCCCACTCAGAAGTGTGACCTCCCTCTCATGTGCTCCCTGAACTCTAGCACAATGCCTGGTACTGACCTGACGATATCAAATCTTAATACTACTGAGTCAACTTACATATTTTGCAATCACTTTTTCCTTTGCAGGCTTCTATAGAGTTGTTGCATATACAGTGTTGTGAATAGATATTTGCCCTCTTCCCTATTTTTTAGTTTTTTGCAAATTTGTCACACTTATATGTTTTAGATCATCAAACATAATGCTAACTTAATACTATACAAAGATAACCAACGTAATTAAAAAAAAAATTTATTAAGGGAGAAAATGCTATCAAAACCTGCCTGCTCCTCTGAGAAAAAGTAATTGGCCCTTCTTGTTAAATCATGAATCAATTGTGATTAACCACTTTTTTTTTGGAAAGCTGAAAAACATGTTGATGATTTTCTTCTGTTCTCAAACCGCTCTTCTCTTAGAAGCTCTGGGTGGAGTCTGGGTGGAGTCCCCCCCCCCATTGTTTTTCTTACCATGCTACCTCTTCTAACCTGTCTTCCCAATGTGATGTTTGTGCAATGTATGTATGGTTGGAAGGGGGCCAATTTCACTGCAGGTAACATGTACGTGTATCATTGCAGCGACAAATAAAGGCTTAATCATCATCAAAAAAAGTCTGGACTAAAACCAGATTGAGATGCTTTAGTATGACCTTAAACATGCTTGAAAAAACCCTCCAATGTCACTGAGTTAAAACAAATCTGCAATGAGTGTGAGGCAAAATTCCTCACAAGTGCACATTGATACAAAAGACTCGCTGACAGTGATCACAAATGCTTGATTGCAGTACTTTCTACCAAGGGTGGCACAAACACAGGTTTAGGGGAGAATTATCTTTTCACACAGGGCCAGGTATGAAGGATTTCTGTTTGACGCTATCAAATATATTAAATCATTTATCAATAGGCTACAACTTGTTCATGTGGAAAACATACATCCTCACAGCAGACTCTGTAAAGGTCTTCTAATCCGGTGTGTAATACACTGCTCGTGCCCTTAATAACACATTTATGAACAAGCTCTCTGACTGATACCAAAATCAAAGGGCAGCATCCCATTAGCCTATCAGCATTTATAACCTGGTTTCCAAGGTTACGGCCCTCTAAGTCACTTCCAGTAAAAAAAATATTCAGGATGATGCTTGTTGGGAAACTCAGCCAGAGTCTGTATTAATTGTAACTTTATGAGGACAAATGTGTGTTAGACACAGGCATAATGGATATTCTGAGTGCTTCTCCCTTTAGGATGAACCATCAAAACTGTCGTAAGCGTTCAGATTTGAATAAGAAGTAAGGTTAGATTTAAATGTAGGATTTGTTTAGAGTAAAGGGCAGGGCTGGGCATCTTATTATATGTTTTAGTGTTATAATATATATCCACCAATTATTTTTCTTCAGATTGCAGATACTTGGTGAGGGTGTCACAATGTAGTGTCCTGATCAAAGCATTATAAAATATAAAGAATGGCTGTAGACTTCGAAGGTAAAAAAAAATTTCATAGAAGTCTATGGGAAAATGATTCTCGGCACCTCTGCTCTGTGACTTTCCTGATGAGTGTACGGGCTCAGTCCCTAATTTCAAAATTGTGGTCATTATTACTGACTTATGTGAAATGCCCAATATCTCAAACAAATATAAAGAGGAGAAATCATTTTGATGCCTAACCAGAACCGACTCTATGAGAACACACAGCACAGCTACTTACACAGACATTAAATGATACATGTGCTATTAGGATTAAAGGATAAAGAAGGGAATATATCAGCGAGGGCCTTCACAAGTGTAGATGTTCCACAGTTAGTGAATTTCCAGTACAGTCTTTTGAATATTTGCATAACATGGAAATCGCTTATTGATATTATGCAAATATTCAAAAGACTGTACTACTTTTTTATTGTTTATTAGGAAGAATACAAAGCACGCTGTTACATGCTGAGAAGACGTCACTTTCCATCTACAAAGGCAGTGAAGGTTGGTTTCTCTGTCTTCTTTATACATTCTGCCCACACATACTGAATTCAGATTTTTGGGTTTTCCCACAGAGTGGTAGAATTGTAGCTATAGAGGGCAGCAACATGCTGATTCTGATCACCGCAAACATTCAGCCTTTACCAAAACCAAGATGAAGAACTAACTCGTCTCACACAATCAAGATTGGAAAAAATGACGTACCACCTTCTGCTTCAAGCCAGAACATTTGTATTTTTCAAATATTTTATGAAAAATATTCCACACATTACAGTGAACATGTGAATAATAGACATGCAGAATCTATCTCCAGCACTCACCGTCTGGTCTGAACTGGGCTACTATGGTGACGGTCTGTCCTGCATTTTTCAGAGCTGCGGCTGCCTGCTCGTGTGTTGCACTGGACAGGTCCACTCCATTCACCTACGAATACAGACACACACAATTAGCAGCTAAATTTGCACTGACACGAGCAAATTGGAAACACTCACAAGTGCAGGTTTTGTTTTGATAGAACTCGCATACGATAATTCAAAATCACAGTAATTCTACAGGGACTGTCAGTGTCCCGACAGTCTGAGGATTAAATCTAGCGTGAATGTTGTGTGAAGAAAATTAAACCTATATTTCATTTTAACGGGACACACACCACATCGCGAGAATGCACTCAGTCATCGGAGGGCGCCGGTTGACTGGTAACGCACGAAAAACAAAGAAAAGTTATGTGAAGCTTAACTCCACCTTCAGATTAACAAATCACTGCAAATAAGCATCTGGAACTGATTCCAATGGCTCTACGTTTTAAGGTACAACATCCTTACAAAGCAAATCTGTTGTGAAACATTAATATAAACAGAATTAGGAGTTATTCACCAACGCTGTGTCGTACTTCTCAGGGATCTGTATGTGTGGTGTCTTAGTTCATACCGACAGGATGCGGTCTCCCTTTCGAAGTTCCCCACAGAGATCAGCTGGACCTCCAGCAAGAATGAAGGAAATGAAGATGCCTTCTCCATCTTCCCCTCCAACAATGTTAAATCCGAGACCTGTAGATCCCCTCTGCAGCACCACCCGTCTGGGTTCCCTGACAGAAACACAAATCAAACAAAGACATCACATCACGGCAACTTATTGGTATTCTCCTTGTTTAGGACACCAGTTCATCAGTTTTGTAATGTATGAATACATTTGATGAGTCAGTGACTACACACATTTTGAAATAATGTTGTACTTCATTATATGACGTTCTCTGAATGTGGAAAAATTTGTAGTGAGAAGAGCTTAATCTCTGCGGGAGGAAACAGTGCTTAACCCGAAGATTACTTTCTGTTTTCACCAGCAGATGTCAGCATCGCACTTTGTGGCACAGCGTGAACAATGAGAGCCGGTCTAGCCTCTACGTCTCGTAAAAAGGACGAAAGAAAAGAATCCAAGTCAACACAAGCGAGTGATGAAGCAGCTGGATGAATGGATGAAAAGCAAATAAAGTCGACCACTGGTAAAAGTTTTTACGCACACCGTCAGCATGTGTAAAAACAAGATAACAAGAGCGCTTCAGCTTGGTTCATGTCTCTTCTAAAAACAGAGCAGTTCTTTTGTGTGTATTCAGAATCAGACACATTCACAAATGTGGGCTGTTGACTAATTTTGTATTGCAACAGCAAATCCTGGCCTCCTTTTGGAACTACATACTACATTTGGAAAAAAAGTCAGCACGGGCAGATACTCCGAGCATGTATGAAAATTACTGCTGAGATAGAAATGAACCAGCGTGTCCCTCCATCTGATCCTTAACCTGAATTCATCTGTTGTGCAGAAGTTTTGCTCACTCAGTGGACATTTTTTAAAACCCATGATCTGCTATTTGTGTGACTAATCAGAGAGCGAGAGAGGAAAAATAGCTGGAGAAAAGAGAAGGACACACGTCAAAATGACCATTCTGCAGTCTGTCTGAGGCTTATCAGATTTATTATAATCAAAGCGCACTGATTGGCCCAAAAGGTCTATGACGAAATAGGTCATATTCTGGTAACCACGGTGATGCCAGTCGAGTGACGAGGGTTGTGATAAGCAGTAATCCCTCCATTAAAATGGATTAAGACAGTAGAGCAGCACTCAGGGTGTATCTGTGTGTGTGGTGTGTCTGTACGCGTATGTAACCTGAGTTTACTTGACAGACAAAATTTGCAGGGCCATCTGCCTTTCACTGCCACACACACACACACACACACACACACACACACACACACACACACACACACACACACACACACACACACACACACAGAGCAAACACGGATGC